CCGGACTCCGCTTCTTGCTTGGCGAGGTCTGTGAACTCGCTGGCCTTATCTTTACAGTCGGCTCATCATTTTCATTTCAGTTACTTACAACTAGGATTGATTCCTAGCAACCAACTGCCTCTGGTTAAGGGGTAGTCCCTTGTCCCGGCCACCCAGTGCGTTTGGCTCAGCACTGCTGTCTCGGGTCAGGAGAGAGACCTCCTGCTCTCACGGGCCGTTTGCTGGCCTTCCAGGGGCACTGTAGAGTGGCAGAGTGGTGTGAAGGGCCACATGCAGCTCTTGGAACTGACAGGTCACTGTGTGCTTTTGACACGCAGGGTCACAGGCTCACCTGCCTACTGTTTCAGCAGCCAGCCAGCCCCCTCCCCCCCCACACACACTGCCACACACACACTGCCACCACACACACACTGCCACACACACACTGCCACCACACACACTGCCACACACATACACACACACACACACACACTGCCCCCACACACTGCCACACACACATACACACACTGCCACACACACACACACACACATACACACACACTGCCACACACATACACACACACACACTGCCAGACACAGACACACACACACACATACAAACACACACACTGCCCCCCACACTGCCCCCCCACACTGCCCCCCCACACTGCCACACACAGACACAGACACACACACACTGCCACACACACACACTGCCAGACACACACACATACACACACACACTGCCACACACACACACACACACACACACACACACACACACACACACACTGCCACACACACACTGCCAGAAAGGGCTGCTTATGGTCCCACCTGAACCCTCCCGTTCTCCACTCTGCACACTGTGCATATCATACAGACTCCTCTAGTGATGTGAATACTGTGGAAACACTGATGAGGGCCACTGTTCATCAGAGACTTTGCACCTTCATATGGTGCCTACGAGTCTCCTTCACTACCCTTTCTGTGCTTCTATCTGCCCTTAGGTCCTGCTAGAATTGTTTGAAGTGCATCAGGGAGACAGCAAATCATTAGTTTTTTTCTTGAACAACAGAAATGAAGGAAGGAAGGGAGGGGAGGAGGGAGGGGAGGACGGAGGGGGGGAATGAAAGGAAAAGCCCTAACTTGGCTCAACCTCATTCACAAAGCGGTGACTGAAGGAGCCAGCAGCAGCGACTGGGAAGGGCTTCCTGAGCTAAGGTGACCTGCCATGCCATCTGGTTACCCCTAACTGCTGTGCCTCAGGCCAGAATCCACCCCGAGACCGTCACCAAGAGGCTTTCCAGTGAAAACCCCAGCAGCACAGCTCATTCAAATTGGTGCACATTTAAGCGCATTAGTGCAGCGGCGGTCCTCAGGGCCCGTCCTGAGCAGCGGGTAACATTCACTGGGAAAGGGCCAGTCTCACAAATTCCACCAAAGACCAGCAAGGGGGAGTAAATTTTATGAGGCCCATGCAGAGAGCATGGATGGAAACCGAGGACTGTCCAGACACGCTGTTTTAAGGGCAAGATGACTCAGTGGTTGGGTCACTTGCCTTCAGGCCTGACAACCTCAATACTAACCCTAATTGACACGGGGGGGGGGGGGAGCGGGGGGGGGAGAAGAGGACTGATATGCGTGCTATGGCATGGACACGTGTGCACACATGTAAATAAATATAATAAAAATGTTTAAAATACTGTTTAGAAATACTTGCATTCATTAAAAAAAAAAAACCCTGCTTCTCCTGACAGACCTATCATTACCATTTTAGTCCTCTTTTCAGTATCATTAGAAGCAAGAGAAATATTCTGAACACCGGGAAGTCACGCAGAAGCGAAAGAAAATGATGTTTTGGGCATGCTTTGTTCTCTACCAGATTATGTCCTTGTCTTTTCTGGTACAACAGTAGGATTTATTTTCTAAACATCCCTGCTTTGCCGAGTGAATGACTGTGGATGTTGGGGACCAGATGAGTCATCCATCCATCATCCGTCCTTCCTTCCATCACTGTCCTTGTTTGTGTTTTTCTTTTGTACACCGACGATTATATCCAAGAGGACACTCAGTGTTCTTCTGTTTAAAGCACCTTCCCTTCAGGTAGGTTATTTGGATCAGAAGTAATAAGGCGCCTTAGCTATCAGCCTTGTCATGGCTCAGATCCTGTGAAAATTACTTACCGGCAGACTTGAGTCCTGTGAAGCCTACCACTGCCTCAACCAGGTGCCTTCCAAAGGGGAGGTCAGTTTAGGAAGGAAGGGTACGAGCGAACACATGATGGTTGTGCTGATGAATCTGTTTCCTCTTTGCTTGGTACTGAAGGAGACACCGACTTAAGACATTGTTTGCCCATCTCGTTCAAATATGGAGACTCTTAAATATAACTAAGATCTTTTATTTATTATATTCATTTGGGGGCACAATTGTTTATCTTCGTATTCATGTCAAGGGGAATAAATATAGGTAGTAGAGGGAAAAATATTACTTGGAACTGAACTACGATTGGACGGGGGTGGGGGGTTGGCGCCGAGGCAGGGAGGGGCATTGACCCTAGACTCAAGAGCTGGCGCTGGCCACTGTGATGGTGCTGGTGTGTTGAGTGGCTGTCGCCGATGAGGCTCTCTTGTGATGCAGCTTCCCTTTCAGTAGAAGGTTCCTCCAGGGCTTCCTGGCTCACTTTAATTCTCATTGACGGACTCTATGGCGCTTAGTATTTGATGCAAGACATGCAGCACAAAACATCCCAATCATTATTTAACAGCCCATTGCTCAGAAACTATTGGATATCCAATACGGTCGTCATGAATCCCCTTAATTTCTCCCATCCTGACTATGTCAATAGAGGGAACTCTGGGTTGAATAGAAATTTGAGTTAATTACTCACTATTCCCCAAAGGAAAACTCATAGAAATAGTTTGTCTCCTCCATCTAAAGTGCCCTAGTATTGACTCCCACGTAGTTCTGGGGAGGTAAGAAAGGTAAGGTAAACCTGTCTTTCTAAGTTATCACTTGACTGCCCCCCTGCTCACACACCACTAGCTCAGTGGCCTACCAAAATAATGTTTCTGCATCATTAGCGTTGAATACTTGAAATCAATTCAATGCTTGGAAAACTCTAATGAGCGCGATTCCATGTGGAGGTTTTCAGATAGAATGCATCAAAAGGAGTTTTAGATGTGCTTTGCCATTTTTTTGGTGCAGAGATGGTGGATTTCATTACCATTCCCACCACCCCACCCCAATACTGTATTAGATGGTTCTCCAGTCAGCACACTGCCAGTGTGGAAAGACTGTGATATCATCTCCTTAGGGCCAACACACTACAGTATTAGGCTGAACTAGAAAATTGTCGGTTTGGGTAAGAAAAAATTGACTCCTGGCAGTTTCCCATGACTCAATCTGAAGAACTTTGGGGTTGAATTTGAGCCTGAATTCCATAACCATGGATTGTAGAGTTAAGGAATTGTAGGCCAATTCCTTAACAGCCAAGGCTCAGTTTGTGAAATCAGAGTAATACATGCTGTGTGGAATTGATGTGATGGTTAGCAATTACATATAGAAATACTGGGTCTGGCCTGGTGGTGGTGGTGCCTGCCTTTAATCCCAGCGCTTGGGAGGCAGAGGCAGGCGAATCTCTAAATTCAAGGCCAGCCTGGTCTACAGAGCGAGTTCCAGGATACCCAGGGCTACACAGAGAAACTCTGTGTCAAAACAAAATGATAACCAAAAAAAAAAAAAAAAAAAAAAAAAAAGAAAAGAAATACTGGGTTTGGAAGTATTAAACATTCAAGAAATAGTTAATAATAGAATATTGTTACCAACCTAAAATAACGTAGAGAGTTCCTTGGCTTTCCCCCTAGCAATTTCTGCATATATGGTAAAGACACGGTTGCTATGGTAGAGAGAAATGGGAAATGTTTGTTTGGCAAGCATGACTTTAAAAACCCAAAGCTTTCAAGGCCTGCCAATCCTGTGTGCTCTGGTATGCCCTAGTAAGGTCACAGATAAAGTTTCATATGCTCAGTAAAGGATCTAAATAGGAAATGTCTGAAGCAAACCAGAAATGGAGTTTTAAAAAAAAAAAATCAAAACACTGAGCAAACATTCTGAGCTTTTGGCAGAAGTGTGGGACTGACTGGATCCCCATGATTCTTTGAGTTATTAATTAGTGACTCATTTTGCCATCGTTTGAGTAGATGTATATTTGTATGTTGCTATGCATGCAGTGTTGTTGTGCGGAGACTTCCAAAGCTTGATGGTCCTTGGAAAGCTGTGCTGTCCTGGGAGAGAACAGGGTGAGGAGGTGTCACTCTGTCACCTGTAGAGTGCCTCCCAGGATGTGCTCAGTAAATGCTCTGGGGAAGATGGGTCCTGCTGCAATGCCTGGAACATGGCTCCATCTGCTTGGCCAGAAGCCGTGATGAAGTCACAAGTTGGGTAACAGTAGTAATTCGAAGCTATTTATGACCGTTGTGACAGTGGAGGTCTGTATTGGAAGGCTGTGTTTACATGCCGTGCAGCAGAGTGTGGCCATGACTCATTCCCACAGTCATGTTTGGTCAAACTGGTTGACCAATCTGTTAGTGTCGATGCTGTGATGAACACATCTCCAAGTTAGTGCTACCTTGCTGGTGTTCTACTCCTGAGCAAACTGACCCCCACACCCCTGCCATGCAGCCACCCTTACCTGTCCAGCATGCAAGCTACATTATATCCCCTCCACACAAAACCGTCCAGGCCCGAGCACCGGTGTGCATCGTGAGGAAAGCGTATTTTTAGCACATGTTTATTGTCTCCATTATGTGGCTTCAATTAGTGACCCTGACGAGTCGTGGGTATCGCGATCAGTAAAACCCTTTCATTTCTCCATTTAGAGGGACTTGAGGTTTTAGTTAATTATCACTTCCTGGGAGCCTGAAGGTCAGACTGTTTCCTTTTGTTTCACTCTGAAGTTAATCCCCTCATTAAGGGTGATAGAAAATGAATAATTAAATATGTGTGCCATTTTCATATTTCAGGTAATGAGAGGCCCTCAGATCCCAGAGGACACCGTAGGAGGAGAAGTCAGGACAGTGTTGAAGGTTCTGTCGCCAGCAAACACGTGAGTTTCAGTTTAGCCTTATGGTGGAATAGCTTCCCCTAACGTACTTCCCCCTACACTGAAACCAGATGAAAATACTCCTTCCGGGGCTGGGCTCTGGCCCTCATAGACTGCTGGGATCAGAGCACCCATTAAAAACAACTCAGGATGGAAGGCTGGCTTGCATTCCTAGTTTCAGAGAGACCTCAGTCTGTCTTGGCAGAGAAGGGTCGGTGGCAGGAGTGATGGGGGACGTTCACATCATGATAGATGAGGAGGCAGAGAGAGCTAGACCAGGACCGGAGGTGAATATAGCCTTCACAGGCCTGTCCTGAAGGACCGACTCTAGCCATCTAGGCCCCATCTCCTAAAGCAGTGGTTCTCAACATATGTGTCGTGATCCCCTTGGGGGTCAACCGACCTTTTCACAGGGGCTGCATGTCAGATCTCCTGCATATCAGACATTGACATTATGATTCATAACAGTAGCAAAGTGACAGTTATGAAGTAGCAATGAAATAATTTTTATGGTTGGGGGGTCACCACCATGAGGAACTGTATTAAAGGGCCATGGCATCAGGAAGGTTGAGGATGACTGTCCTAAAGGCTCAAATAGTACCAAAATCTGGGTACCAAGTACTGAAAATAGGAGCCTTGGGTGGGGGGCATTCTGTATTCAAACCGTAACAACAGTGAACCTTTGACATACAGGTTCTCTCAGCGAGGGGTTTGGTCATGGCAGTTGTATACAGAGGCCTCTCAGGCATTAAGTGCAGAATGAATGACGAGCGCCCAACACAGTCCTCGGTCGGCACATGCTAGCTGGCCACAGAAGAGCATCGTGGTGACCCAGGCGACGAGCTGAGTGATGTCAGCGGCCGGCCTCAGCCAAGCATCCACTTGCAGAGTGTTCATGTTTCTTTTGATTCACTGGGCTGAAGATTAAGGGTAAATTGTATCAGGCCCTGGATAAAAACCCACATCTCTAGGGTGTGAGGAAATCCACCTTCAACCAAACCTTTCAATTATGATCAAAGGATCTTTTGGAAGGCTGAAGCTACAGGAAATAGAAAAGTGATAGATGTGACCCACAAGGCCACAGCTGTGGAGGGGAGGCAAAGCCCCCCCAACAGCCCCCAGGGTACAATCTGAATTCCTGCCACCCTGCCAGACACCGTCCTTCACGGCAGTCCTTCATTTACGGGTCATAGTTAAAGGAAGCCCAATTGGCATAGACCACCCCCGTGCTGCTCTGTGGGGACCAGTTGGGTCAGGCCCTGCCTCTGCCTCCTGTCTCAGCTCACTGTTTCTTTGAGGGACCTTACGCTTATCCCAACAAAGAGTGTACTCAGCCCTGCTGAGGAAGCCCTGCTCCTATTAGGAATCATCAGGGTATCTTATTGGTTCCCTTCATTTCTTTAGTCAAGACACAGAAAGTCTCCTAAAGGAAGGGCAAGTCTGGGCTGAGTCTAAACGAGTCAAGATTTGACTGACCAAGACAGTAGAGGGTGCTTTAAGGAAGGAAGCGATGTCGCCGGAGTCTGGCACCTGGCAGAGAAACTAGCTCCAGAGGGGAGTGATGATGGCGAGGAGGGCTCAGATTGGCGAGGCGGAAAAGGTCTAGGGGTTGGACCTTGATGAAGAATCTTGGGATTCATCCTGATGTCAATGTGGAGGCCCACTGAGGTTTCCTAGTGAGATCTGAGCTTGCTTCACCCAGCAGGGCTGCATTAGAGGATTGTGTGTGTGTGGTTACGAGGTGATGAGAAGGGTCTGCACTTGGTTGTGCTGTGGGGAGGTCTTTTGCTGCACCCCTTGGCATTTTTATAAATATCCCTTTAGAAGAGACAGAAGAGGCCGGTGGATTAGGACCCAGGCCCTCCCGATGCTAGCCTGTGTTTCTGTTTCTCTCCCCTCTATCCTTCTATCTAAATCTCTTATCCCTCACTCCTCAAGAGTACCCTGGGGTAAAATAAGTGTCCACTGCTATGGTTACAGGAGTGGTTAGATAATTTGACAGGAAGAAGAGGATGGGAGCAAGGCCTGTGGTAATGCCACCTCGGAGTGAAAAGGAAAATAAAAGGTATTCGAATAGATCATTGATTATATGTAAAAGGCTGGCAATTACCGCTCAGAAATGAATCTTAAAATTTGCTGTATCACTCATTATTTTACTCACAATGGTCAGCCTTAGTCAGACTTTCGTAGGGAAAATACGCTGCTCCTTTCCAAGAGGGCCAGGGAAGCAGTGTCTCTAAACTGCTCCTGCAGGGAGTGTCAGAGGGGAAGACGTGGGAGTGACAGAGAGAGGGGCCGACGTGCCGGCGCGTGGACGGGTGCTGGGTGACAGGGCACAGTCAGAGCAGCCTCATTTCATCCTCGGATGGAAAGACCTCCTAGTCTTTGAAAAGCATTGGATGGTGGAGTTGGAAAGTTGTGTGATTTTTTTTTTTTTTCATTGAAGAGTGTGTATCACTGTTAGAAAACTAACCCTGGACAACTTCTATCTCACTGCTTCATGTTCCAGGGGAATGAACAGGACAGAAGAATAAAGCCTCTCCCCAGAACCACACGTGTTTGATTGACTGCTGGAAGGTAAGGGCCGGGACTCACCAGAGTCCACTGGCTAAAATAGGAGCCGTGGTGGTGTCAACAACTGTTTAACTGCATGCATGCATTGCATTGTTCTTTATTGCAAGTGTTGCATGTCTCTGTCGAGTCAATTAGCTGTGAAGTAGGCCTTGTATTGATGACATCTTCACTCAGAGGTGTGAGTTGCCCAGCGGGAAGGAAAAGAGGTTCCTGTGGCGAAGGACAGACTTCAGAGAGCCCCAGCCCCCTCTTAGTGGTGTTAAGGTTGGGTGAATCCCATGCAGAGGAATCAGCAAATGTTCTCTGGTCCATCATGTGGAGACAGTCAGCCTACATCCAGAGAGTCAGTACCCACTGCCCCCCAAGGAATCCCTTCTCCATCTTTGAGGGAGTCCCCCCGCCCCCCGCCATGGCACCCCTGAGTCTCAATTCTGTTCTCCCTGTTACCATAGTTTCGTGTATTGAAGGCCTGGCTCCTTGGCTAGGGATGCTATTTGGGCAGGTTCCGGAAGCTTACGTGGTGGGGCCTCGCTGTAGGAAATAGGTCACTGGGGTTATATTCTGCTTGCTGCCTTGCCTGTCCCTCTGTCTGTCTCTGTCGCTCTGTCTGTCTCTTCCCCCCCATCCCCCTCCCTGGCCACCCTTAGGTGAGTAGCTCTGACTTAGCACACCCTTCTCCTGTGACTTCCTGCCCCAGACTGAGGCCATGAACCCAAATAAATATTTTCTCCTTTGAAACAGTTTCTCTCGGGCATTTGCGCAGCAGCAGAAGGCTACGGAACGTACCCTTCCTTACAGTTCTGCATCTCTGTCCACGTAAAGCTGTGAGAGAAAAGAATCCATCCTGTCAAGACGGGGTCCTTCCCTTCTCTCCACACTTGTCCTCTCTCAGTCCCTGCCTCTCACCCACGAGCAATTGCTTATCTCCACTTCAGGCAAACCCATGCTAGGCCCTGCTTTGTGTCCCCAGGCTGCAGCCTTCTCTATGGCATCTCTTCCCCAGACACATTACTTCTCCCGCATACTGGGAAGGGATGTCCTCAGACCCGCCCTTCTCTTGCAGATTCTCCCCCACCACCACCACCACCACCACCACCACCACCACCACCACCCCGCCACCCCGCCCTGGGGGCCCTCTCCCCCCCACACACACACACACTTCAGCAGCCTGGCCTGGTGAGGACACAGGAAGTCATTAGGAGACACAATGGGGCTTAATTTGGAGACACTGACAGATGCCCTGTAAACTGTGAGTAGAGCAAGGGCATGTGCCACTGAGGGGCTCTGACAGGCTGTAAAGTCATAGCTGAAGCCAATAAAGTCCTCAAGCCGGGTGATTTTCATTGGACCCTTGTTTCATTAAGCACAGACCACTTAAGAGATCTGTCTGGATGTTCGTCTTGATGGTGTTTCCATTTTGAAATTGGATCAAGCAAATCCACCGTTGGCTAGTAAGTTCCCCAAGCTCAGCCCTTCATGTATTATTCATATCAACTCTTTCTGTAAACTTTTAGCATCTTAGAAGGAGTCAGACCCATTTCATTTTATGGCATCTTCAGTGTTTAATACTTTTGGCCATTGAAATCACCATGTCTCTGCTGGGTATTCCCTGGACGGCTGTTAGCAATGGGGCCGGTTGGAGCTTCTAATTTTCTAATTTCATTTTTCTTTCTCACGGTGTTTCCTAATTTATGATTCTAACTTCACAATATTCCAGGGCTGACTTTTATTGAATTTCACATCAAGACTAAAGGTGGTTCTTTTTTTTAAAGTTACTTGTGCTAACATTGTGCTAGATGCTGAACAAGTCACAGGAAGTAAAGTTATGATATATGTTTTTCATGTTCTGCTCATATTCTGCTCCCTTTCCTCACCCACCTTCTTTTGAGAAGGGGTCTCATGTATACAGTTGAGTATGGCCTTGAACTTCCAATCCTCCTGCCTCCACCTCGAGTGCGAGAATTACAGGCAGAGCCATCCGCCTGTTTCATGCAATGCTGAGGAGAGAAATCATAGCTGTGTGCATGCCAGGCTAGCCCTCCAACAGCGAGCTCCCTCCCTAGCTCCAGTGCTCCCTGGTTTCCATGGTAACAAAGCCCACTTCCGTTATCCGAGAAGGTCCCATGGTCCAAAAGGGGCTGGTTCGAATCCTTCTCCAGAATTTTCCTGCCAGGTCTGCTGAGAGGCTGTTGACTATGGGATAGAGGAGTTTGAAATCCAGCCTGCTGTTGTTAGAATAATCCTTTTCCCCCAACTCCTCACTGGTGGTACTCCTGAACTCAGACAGAACAAAGCAATAGGAAGCAGAGAAGCAGGAATGAGAGACCAGTAAAGAGAGTCCCAAAGGAGGAGCTCCATCCTCAGGCATCCCCTGGACCTCCGTGGCTTTTTCCATGGATGGGGTATAGGAGACTTTCAATTCTTATACCCACTTAAGTGACTTTGAGTCATTAATTACTGTTATTTGCTAATAACAACTCCACATTGACACAGAAATCAAGCACATGAATATAAATGTTTCTCATGATAGAGTACTTACCTGTGGCGGGGCTGCTTGGAAAATTCTTAAACCGAGTCCACTGAGGCTTTTGTTTTCCTGGTTGATTTCCTTGGAGCAGTTCTTAGTTATACCTGGTGCCCTGATTCCTTGTTTGAAGTTAGGGACAGGAAGTGGCCGCCTTCATAGCCTTCATTATCAATTCATGTGAATGAAAAGCTCTGAAATTCTGATTGGTGAATGCCCAGGTCTTATATCATCTGTCAACAGTTGGATCAAGAGGCTGGGATATGTCGGGGGGTCAGTCTTACCCATCTCTGTGGACTACTGTGTTGCTTTTCTGGGCTGGACTCTGGGACAGGGTTACGATACACTCTGCCAGAAGTAAGGGAAGGCTCTTCTCCCCGCTTCCTCCTCTGATAGAAGGCAGCCCGGAGGGCCCAAATTTAAGAGGGCAAACTGAGGTGAACTTATTCATGATTTTCTCAATTTCTCAGAAGAATCAAAAGACGCTGAGCCAAATTCAGAGTGTGAGGGAAGACAAAAACACCCAACAAAAAGCAACTTAAAGGAGTTAACTTTGGTCCACAGCTGTTGGGAAAGTCACGAGAGGAGCATGAGGCCGCTGGTCACATGGCCTCCACACTCAGGAAGTGGGAGTGGTGGCGGTTGGGGTGGAGGGGCTCAGCTGGCTTTCCCCTTTTGATTCAGTCTAGGACCCCAGCCTATGAATGGTGCTGCCCATATTTAGGATGTGTCTTCCTGCCTTAATTAACCTAATCAATCAACTCTTCCATTGACATGGCCAGAGGCCCATCTCTCTCTCTCTCTCTCTCTCTCTCTCTCTCTCTCTCTCTCTCTCTCTCGGCTCCTTTTTAAACAGTTCAAATTTTTCTTTTATTTTTTATTTTTTTCATTTCTCACTTTTTCAAATTAATCAATTCATCCACCTTTCTATTACCAGCTTGATACAGTATGTATTCCCATCTTAATTGTGAAATGTTTCATTGAGGCTTGCTCAGTAACTGGAGGCTCATCTCTTATGTGATTCTAGATCCTGTCAAGTTGACATTCAGTATTCACTATTACAGAGGACTTGGACACAAGCCCAAGATCTTCAGGATCCTAGTAGATAGTTTATAATTGTCCCCATAAGCTCATCGGGAGTGGCTCTATTAGGAGGTATGGCTTTGTTGGAGTAGATATGGCCTTGTGGGAGGAAGTGTGTCACTGTGGAGGCAGGCTTTGAGGTCTCATATATACTCAAGCCATGCCCAGTGTCTCAGACCACTTCCTGTTGCCTGTGAGATCAAGATGTAGAACTCTCAGCTACCTCTCCAACACCATGTCTGCCTGCATGCCACCATGTTCCACCATGGTGATAATAGACTGAACCTCTGCACTGTAAACCACCCCATTCAATGTCTTTCCTTTATAGGAATTGCCATGGTCATGATGTCTCGTCTAAGACAGAAAGTATCAGTGCGAGCGGGGCCTTCTTCCTCCGCTGATGTACACCACGGGTGGCTCAGGGTCCAACATGCAGACAGGCAGACAGTGACCCTGGCAGGGCAGGATGCAATGCCTAGAAAGGAAAGGGGCAAGGCCTTGAGATTGAGCCCAGATGCTGGCCTCCCCTGACCTGGTCTAGCCTCCAGCTCTTTACCATTCCTCAGACATCTCTTTAGAGTCAGCCTTCTGGGAGAGGAAACTGCTGGAAAATGGTGTTTTCACTCCGAAGACCTTTAAATACAGATGATACTCCCAAACCAGAAAAACCAGGACCCTTTTCTGCCACTTACAGGTTGAGTGTCCTCAGGAAAGCCATTTAACCTCCCCAGATCGCAGTTGCTCGTTTATGTAAAATTAAAACAAAAACAATAATTATCTTCTAGGGTTGTTTGAGGACAAAATCATTAGGAGAAAGCGAAAAGCTGTTTAGACAGTGGGCACTCAGAATATAACAATGTCTGGCCACCAAGCAGCCAGGACCTTGGTACCAGGGGTGAAGACCCAGTCAGTCTGTGTGGTGGTGGGCGGGGTCGAAGCTTTCTGTTGTCCAGTTTGAGAACCGGGGGCTTCTGTTGGAGTGGGGGAAGGGCAAGGACAAATAGCACGGAGAGCAGCTTCCGGACTGCCCAGTGCCAGCTGGTGCGCATGCGCAGTTGGCATGCACTGAACAAGGCCCTACCTCTGCTGACTCGGCAGTCTCGAGGGAAAGTCCATTGTAGGGACAGTGAAGGAGAGGAGTGTTTTTTTAATCAACTTCCTCTCCCAGAATCCTTTGTACCTACACATTCCCGATACTCAGATCGTAAAACAACACAGTTCCCAAATACTCCCCAGATCGCCGTCTTCCACACGTTCATGATCGTTATTTTGCTTCCTATTGATCCAATAAAGGAAATTGAAGTTTACTTCCCATTTCCCCGATCTCTGATGAGATTAAGCCTCTTTTCATGAGTTTATCAACCATTTGCATGTTCTCTTAGGCTTCTGTTACTTA